CACTGGATGAGCATGGTGCTGACAACACCAAGCCAAGGGTTAAGATCCCGTTACTGGTCATCTTTAAAAAAAAAAAAAAAAGGCATATTACACCCCAGAATTTTTAACTTTTTTCTTGGAAATTATTGTATGTCATGAACAGATATTTTAAATGACTCTGATCTTATTAAACAATGCTGCATTTCACTTTCTGTCAGCTTTTTGTTTTTCCAGGTCAAGATTTAAATATTGTATCTTCCCTAGTAAATAAGACCTGACCCAGATAATAAATCAGTTAATTAAAGCATTACCCTTTCCTTCATCATATAAAAATGATTACATTACATACCTCTTTCTACCTTGTTCCTCCCTCTAGCTCCATTCTGGTAGTTGACATTCATTTATTCTTTCAATAAGTAGTTGGGTAATTATTATATGCCAAGCACTGTTCTAGGCACTGGGAACAAAATAGCAAACAAAATAATTGCTGCCTTTGTGGAGCTTACATTCTAGAGGAGAGAGAAAGCAATAAACAATTATCTATTGTTTAATAAAAAAGTTATGTACTGTGTTAGAAGATAAGTACAGTGGACACATAAAGCAGGATAAGTATATGTAATCTTATAATGAGTAAGTACTAATCTGCTCTGTAACATGAGTATTGCCATCTTATTTTTTCCTTCAATTTATAGTTCCAATGACAGGATTTACCCAAAGAGCAACTATTGATCCAGAACTGAATGAAATACATGTCTTATCTGGCCTCAGCAAAGACAAGGAAAAGAGAGAAGAGAATGTCAGAAATTCATTCTGGATTTATGACATTGTGAGGAACAGTTGGTAAGGAACTCTTGTTTGTACTATAATCCCAATGTAGCATTTATTTGAGGGTGTTGGTTTATTCAAAAGAAGAGAGAAAAAGGAGGCTTATGTTAATTTGTGTATGTACAACTTCACAAATTAAAAGTCAGTATTGGGGAAAAAATCAATATCAGTGTATACATGTACAATGATGTTCGATGAATGAATTTTACCTCTGTATTCAATTAATAGATGGTTCCTGGTCTGAGAGTCAGAGAATTGTACTTTAGTCTAGGTTCTGCTACCAAGTGCACTTGAGCACTTGAAAATAATGCTTTTTTAATGTCCCCAGGTCAGTCTTTATAAAATGATGAGGTTTGACTAGAACAGTGTAGGGACATTATTACTTAGCATTTCCAAACCAGGACCCTTTTGTCATTGAGCATCTTACAGAACTGGTGCTGCATGTTTTGCTTCAGGAAATACTGGCCCAGGGGATCCAGCTCTAACATTCTGTGATTGCTCCATAAGTGAATATTCTACAGAACAGAGGCAATTTAGAGAACTTTGTCCATTCAGTAATGGAGAGTAGTGCTCAGCAAGTAAGGAATTTATTATTTTCTAAATAGGATGTTTATTTACAGTTAAGAGAAAAGCAAGTCTTTTTATTGCATATAGATAGACAGGATAGCATCTCTTTCAGCCTTTAATTTGAGCCTTTGTGTGTGCTGTTTTTATTTCATAACATGAAGTAGGTTCTTCTTAAGTGAATTATTTGTTGGACATTAAAAGAACTTTAGAATTCAGTTCTAACAAATTCATATTACTTTATGAGAGTGACTAGAACTTTAAGATTTGATGCAAACAAATTCATAATTTTTTTTCTGTTGGTAATTGGACATGCAATTAATTTGCTTGATACAGTTGTATTAACAGTATGTTTGCTGGTAATTTTCTAGGACAATGCCTTAAAAGCAATGTTTTGCAGGTCTTGCGTCTATAAGAATGATCAAGCTGCAAAAGATAATCCAAGTAAAAGTCTTCAAGAGGAAGAACCATGTCCAAGATTTGCCCATCAGCTTGTATATGATGAGTTACACAAGGTATACTAACTACACTGATGTGTGAATTTTCCATGGCTTACAATCTGAAAGAATCCTCAAATATTTGTTTCTGATTAAGTGGATTTGAATAAAAGGTTGTAACACATAGCAGACATTCAATAGAACATATGTAGCTGGCATTCAATATCACTTCTAAAATTCCTTAAGAGAGTAAACATTTTAGCATAATCTGCATTTCTTGGCACTTTTCCTGTTTTGAAAATAGTGGCTGCTTCTTTGCTGCTCAGATCAGATGCATAGCATCGACAGTCGATTCTACAATGTGAATATCCAAGTAAAAGATGTTCGGTTTTCAGCATATCAGGTACCTTGTCTCATGATAGGAAAAGGACCAGGTATATAACTTCCTGGTTTAAAATTTTCCCTATTGTATAAGAACTCTTTTTATCTTTATTTTTCTTATATATGAGTGACATCTCTTTTCCATCAGCCTTGTGAAGACAGTCTTGCTTTCTGAAGTTTAGTGTCACTAAGTGTTTGTGATGGTTTCTTTAACTATTTCTCCCTTAAACTTAACATATAGTTTAGTGATTAGACTCAGATTATATAGTAAGTTGCTAACAGAGCCTGATTCTTTCTGTTTAGGCCATAGGTGGTTATTTAAATTCTGTGCTGTAGTTTGAGACCTATAGGTAAAAGACACCATGGGAGTGAATAAAAGCCATTTCTCTTAGTGTCTCCCAATTTAAGGGGTAAGTTAATTTTCATCTGTAGTATAGAAATATCTCTATTGTATAAAACCAGGGAATATAAATGTTTTCAAAATTTCTGGTAATATTTTAACACTTTGTCTAACTAAGTACAGTACAGAATGAACATTAAAAGCCTAATTAATAGTGAAATCATTACATTCCTTTTGTTTCCTTTTTTGGTATTAATTGGATAATGAAGTAATATATATATATTTAAAATTTTATTTATTGAATCAAAATTGATTATATGTATTTTGGGGGTTCAACATTTAGATATGTTGATCAAATCAATATTACTAGCATATATATTGTTACAAATCATAATTATTCTTTATGCCCCTTCTCCAATCTGTCCCCTTTCCGCAGTCCCTCCCCTTGCCCCCCTCTAATTATCCTATATTTCTTCTCTCCTTCTGAAAGAATAATGGTTACTCTATTAGCCCATTTTGTGTTGCTATAACAGAAATACCTGAGACTGGGTAATTTATAAAGAAAAGAGGTTTATTTGGCTTACAATTCTGGGACAGCTGCATCTGGCATGGGCCTCAGGCTACTTCTACTCATGGCAGAAAGTGGCAGGCAGCTGGTGGGTACAGCAGGTCACATGGTGAGAGGAAGCAAGAGAGAGAGAGAAGAGGAGCCAAGGTCCTATAAACAACCAGCTCTTGTGGGAACTGGATAGAGCGAGATCTCACTCAGAACCCCCACCCCCAGGGAGAGCATTAATCCATTCATGAGGGATCTGCCCCCATGACTCAATCAGTTTCCAACACTGCCACACTGGGGATCAAATTTCCACATGAGTTTTGGAGGGGACAACACATCCAAGCTCCATCACTGTTAATTTGTTGCCTAGATGATCTGTCCAATGCTGAGAGGTGTGATCATGTCCTCCAGTCCCCCAGTATTATCGTAGAGCAGATGCTTCTTCTGTCACTCTGTAATGGGCTTTGTGGAGAGAGACATCCTCTTCTTTATCTCTGCTGGTGACTCTCCTTGTGTGAATGCACTCCAGTGGTTGGCGGACCATCTGCATGGTGGTTGTGGTGTGTAGTTGCTTTTGGGGCAGCCATAGTTATTGTGGTGGCTGTGGTGGGCCACCCACATGGAGGTGATGTTTTTGGCATGCTCCTTGGTGCTG